TGTTTCAGGTTCCATGCAAAACTCCTGTTTTTAATTCAAATGTAGCATTCGAAATGCGTCACTGGCACTCTTGATTCTTTTCAACTGAGCCAGGTGGACAATTGAAGACATTGAAACATTATAACACCACCGGAGGAAAAATATTTTCAAACTAGATTGTTACTGGCTTTGAGTTCTTGACGAAAAAAGATTTGTAGTTATTTAAACATAATCCAATCGTACATGTTCCAAAAAGGAAAACTGAAAAAGTAAAATACATTTTAACTCGTAGTGTACTTGAATTTATAATTACTATTCCGCTGTCAGTAGGTTTTCTTCGAAAGACAGTCCATTCGATTTATAAAAACACATATCACGATATGACAGCAATTTTGACCACAGACAGTTAAGATCAAATTCATACTCATTAAGATAAAATAGGCTTTAGATATACCCAAAAAATAGAAAAAGGGTAATGAAAATGAAATTTAAATAATAGAATAGCCTATTTCATATTTAATTGATCTTTTTTGTATTCTATATAGCTTTTTGTGATAGCATTATTTGAATACCTGATGTTATCTTTATAAACAGCGCTCTGCTCTAGGATATCCACCTCGTGTTACATTGGTAGTTAGAGCAGTGGCTTGGAGAGCCAAAACTCAAAGGAGCTAGTGTAACATCTTCAGTCCAATATTGCTAATATCACACACAGTGAATAGATGTGAAGAGTGCTTTTGGCATAATTTCTTTTCCTATAATTTGCTTCAAATGTATCCATTATTTTTAAAGTTTTACGGATTTGCAATTGTGTTTTTGTAAGTAGATATTTTTTCTGTAAATATTGAGGACTCAGCAAAATTTATACCCTAAAAATAACACAAATGGAGGCTCATCGAGGCTCTTGTTCTATGAAGACAAAACAAGGAAATTTTTCTACCTTATAAGATTTTTCCTACAGCTTTAAAATAAGTTCTTGATATCATTAGCCTACTTACTCACAAAAAAGTAGTTTTTTTGGGCGAGACTGTCGGCGAGACAAATTTTGCGAATTGAAATTAAAATAAATGGTACATATTTTCAAAACACGTTTTAGATACCAGAGAATTCTGGACACGCACAAGTTTAATATTTTTTTTGCTTTTTGTAACGTCTTCCATTATCCAGAAAATTATACTCTCTAAAACCAACATACAATCAAAATATTTTAAAAGCGACAGCGGCTGATAATTGTCAGAGAAAGAAACAATTTCCTTCTTTTTCTAAGCCGGAGATTAAAATCAGGTTTTTTTGTTATGTTGAACCTTGAAAAGTTAATTTTTGTCCATGTTCAAATAGAGAACTTCATATTTGTTTTGATTTTGAAGTTTGCAAATTGGTCTTTTTTCGGTGTGTTAAAATCACAAGGAAAACAAATAATTTCTTCAAAAGTATAAAATACTTAGGCACAGAATTCAAATACTCGATCGTTATTCAACCAACTCCTTTCTAACATAGTTGATATAAATTCAAACGAGTCCAATCAGATATAATGCTTTCAGATTTCGAAGCCAAATCTACTTCCAGTTTACTGATGGAGCGGAAAATTTTAAGGGTTGAAAATAAGCGTTAAAACAGGAATTCCCTCTCATTGATGAAAGAGAACGCAAATATTTTTATTTTGTACAATAAAGCCATGACACACCACAGAGTGACAAAAGGTTTTTTTCGTAGCCATTCAACGTTTTTGTTGTTGTCGTAGGTTGTTTACTTTCTCCCATATAATTTCCAGAGGAAGAAATATGTTAAGGTTTCTCGGCTGTATATTTGTCATAAATAAGCCAAATATCAAATTTTCGTTCAGAAAATAAGCTTCCTCCTGAGTAAACATACCATCTGCATGAGGCTGAGCTCTGAATTGGCTTCATAGAGAGTGTCATATCTAATAGCACGTTTTGAAAAAAGAAATTGATTTTAAAACCCATGAGTAGGTAAAATTTCATTATTTTTACTTAACAGCTCCACTGTGGCTATCGACTGCCATCAATGCTTTCCATAACTTCTCAGCTTACTAGCTTAAATGAAACGTCAATTTTTTAAATAATCTGTAAGATTATATACAAAATTCTGTTATGCAGGACCATAGTTAGAAAAGATCACTAGCTTGCAAAACTCTAAAAATAATTTTTATTGGTCGTTGCAACATTTTTCTATTCGCCTGACCGTACTTAATGTTACGTAGCATTCAAATTGTTGACCAATAGAGCCTCCCAGCGATTTATACAGCAAAATGTGTGAATCCAAATGTATAAGATTGTGCAATGTCTGGTGCTCTCAATCCTAAGGACAGACCAATTGTTTTCACTTTTCATTTTTGACAATTTTACTTTTATATGTACTAGAGCTATTCACTTTCGATGAGCCACATGAACATGTCAGAAATAGAAAAAAATCAGCCTAAACAATTTTCAGTGGAGATACAGCTATATGACAACAAACTCGCAAGAGAAAAATATCAACAAATGTCAAATTTCCGGGCTCATTTTGACTTCAGACTGCATCCTCTCTCCATCTAATTAAAAAAAATATAAGTCCTGAATCAACATTTTTAGCTTTTCCAGATTGTATAATTAATAATCAGGAGAGAAAAAAGAACTATGATGTCATCGATTATTTGCATAAATTCTGTTTTTGACAGTTCCTAGTAGTGGCATTCTGGGATTGAAGTTGTGCTTTTAAGCGAAGCCCTCTGGGCTCACTCACAAAGGCAATGCTTTCGTTTCATAAAGGCTTCGCTCTTAGTAGACCGCACTGCTGCCAAGAGATAAGATTGAGCAATCCCCACGACGTATCAGACACACGAGCAATTTGCAAAACAAAGATTAAACGAACGGCTCGGAGTTCACTCTGCTGATTGGTAAGACCTAAAATTAAAATGTGTTTTAAACATTATTTATGATTAGTTTTAATTCACTTAATTCAAGTAGCTTTTAGTTAGATGATTTTAATTGATGTCTAACAGATTTTTTATCCCCAACTGATTGATATGTAGAGTTCTTTTTCCATGACACTAATTTTCCACCATAATATTCTACTTCTACTGTCATATGTTTACGTTGTCAGTCTGAAAATTCGCTATCAAGGACTGTATCCTCTCAATATTTTTTAACTTTCAAAAAATCATGAAATTATTAATTCCAGTATGAAATGAATCAAAAAAGTCAAACAAAGTAGAAAAATTAGAGATATTGGTGACACTTTCAAACCGTGAAATTTCCGGAAAAATTGGATGCCCAGAGACGAAAATACGTTCACATATTTTCTCAACTGAGCAAACACGAACCACACTGGCACATTTTAGCGAACAAAGAATCGAAAGCTTCTTATTTACACAGATAAACGAGATCACCGATATTTATGTCATCACTTGCTTTTTAGTCTGTCTTTTGCCTGGAAGCTCACACGGTTATTTAATACTTAGTGACGTTCGTCCCTGTGATTTGGTTGTATCTCTTTTTCAAGCCTTTTATCCTTTTTTAAGGGGCTTTGCCTTAAATCGGTATCCCCGATCATCAGAATGAGCTGCCGTGATTGGTCCAAGCCTAGACATGTTTTCCGAGTTCCATAACTCAGTGTTTGCACCCTATCACTGAAATAGACTCATTCTCAATATTTATTATTCCGTATCTTCATATTTTATTCGTCTTTTCATCACGCTTGTATGGAATCATTTCTTTTTTTCTTCTCCTCTTTTTGGCAAGCATGAAAATATAGGACACAAAAGGTGCCTTTATGTTTACAGGTAAACATTTTCATGTCAATTAAACAAATTTAAAGCATATATGTAAACAAGAGCATCTAAAATCATAAAACACCATGTCCTTTCTAAACAGCAAAATAGAAAGTTGGTATGGCAACCTTTTCAATCAAATAAGACACTACTTTTTTAATCATTTACTTAATCTTGTTTTAATTTTTTTCCTTTTGATAAACATAACCAAATTTGCATAAACTCACATTCGGTTTGATAACCTCGGTTGCTATGCGACGGTAAAGAAGCAATTGTTTTCGGCGAGAAATAAATCTCGGTCTCAGTGTAATCATTCTTTCAGCTAGCCTGCAAACAGAGATTGCCTTATCCTGCTTGGACTCGATAATGGTATTATTGTCGTTCAATTGACGAATTTTTCATTAATGTTACTTTTTTTTTCCTTTTTGAACAGATCCTTGAGAATATATTAAGCATAAAAGAAAGCCTTTTTAAATTTACATTTTAAGTTAATCATATTTGCATCACGGTGGTGAACTTTAAGCCAGACCAGTTTCGAGTGACATGGATTGAGAAAAGTGAGAGATTCATTAAGAAAACTGCACTTTAAAGCAATTTACCACGATCGGCAACATCCTGCGCATTTTTGAATAAGTATCTGTTTCGATACTTAATAAAATCAATTTCAAAATTTGGTCATCTTTGGACAGTTTTGTTTTTGTATAAGCAAAAATTAATGAAAAGCTTTCAGACTTTCTTATTTACTGCTACATGAGCGTCAGCCTCAAGTTACTGAGTACTTGTAATGACGAGAGAGTATGGGACGAGAAAGTTGACCCTCTCCACTCCCCCTGAGTAGATAGCACGTCGTCTAAAGGGCTGAGATACGAAAGACTTGTTCTCTAAAAAGAGGCTTCATTCAAATTCTTGGTTGCCTGAAATTTAAAATAATTATGGACTAAGTAATACCTAGCTATAGATCTTAAATAAAACGAATATATGATAATTTCGGTCAAATCTAGACAATAACTCGAACGAAGATTATCATAAGACGCTTTCGCATTTGTTTTTTTTACAAAAAGCCTTTGTTCCCCGATCGTTTCAGCAATAAAAAATTTTTTGACCGGTTAATAATCTAAAGTGCTTCATCTTAAAGCGAACAGAACTTTTAAAGTGATAAATGGAACGAAAGTAAACATTTACTTGAGCACGTCACTTTTGCCCCCAGGGTACAGATAATTGACAGATGAATTAGTCTACTTTACAGAAAGATCGTCCATTTGTACAACCACGCAATCTGCATCTGACTAGAGGTTTCTCAATATACACCGCCATCGATACTAAGGTAAAGCAAGTCTATTCAACCTCGTTCAATTCTTTAGGTAGACTTGTGAATTCTGCTTTTCAGAGTGAAAATTCTTCTACTTGCGAAATCTGTAATTTCGTATTGATCAGTGTACGTGCATGTCAAAAGCATGGCTTCGTTCCATTTGATATTGACTTTAGATGTATTTATACCAGCACGTTTGCCTTGAAAAGTGTACTTACAAAGGAAAATACATACGCTTTACACATTGGCAAGGCAACTTGTTAAGTGAACTTGAGTGAAGTATAATTTTTCCTGAGCTCTCTACAACATCTCGTCCTTGACAGAAGTCGTTGTAAATTTACTTACCATTGCAACTTGTGATTGTTGACACTTCTCGTGGCCCAAAAACAATGATGTCAGTTTTAAAAGCGTATGCGTGGAGGGAACACCTGTCAAGAGAATGTTGTTAATGTCTATGACGGTTTTTAAAGTCACGTTCATTCATGAACCTTTGAGCTCCTAATGAATTTTAATTTCGATTAGAGTGAACAACACGTACGGAAGCATCGATGGCCCGCATGGATCTCTGAATTCTACCAAATTTACTGAACTATCTAAAAGTTTTCGAGTCAGGAAGGGGAAAACGTAAATTTCGAGTCAGGGAACCAGAAGTAAAGAAAATATGCAAAATAGTAATAGACGGGTAGACTTCATTCCCTTCCATTAACAATTATATTCCTATCGCCGTCCATAGAGCACTACCTACGCGCGTACTCCAGGGCACAAAACCGCTACCACCACTATGATCAATGATTAACCTGTTTGCTTCGCTAAATCGTCAGAGATAATAACAACACTCAAAGATAAAATTCGCGTACGCTCGCGGTTATGCAATATCCTAGATATATCGACTGAGTTTTTTATAACATAGATGTATGAGCTTATGTTATTGAACTAAAATCCTTAATATACTTAATACATATGAGTTTCAAAACATGTGGAAACTTTTTTACCGGCCTGAAGGCTAAAATAGCTATGAACAGCACTAATTCAAGATTTGCATCCGTGAAGCTGGACACAAGTGAGTTTTACTGATCAAAGGCACATTACTAAATTGAGGCTTTCAGAGGCGTCTATGAGGACACGAGGGTCTCGGTCGATCGAGATCTAAATTTCAATTTAATTCCAAGGACTGCCTTGTCAGCTGGATGAGAAAACGTGATCTCCTTTTCAAATGTACGTGCTAAGAATTGCAATGTAACTTCCGTTCACCATGTATTGCTGATAAAAAAGCGATCATGAAGTCAACCCCCAGGATTGAACTAGAAGATTGTGCGGAGATCTCGGCGCGCTCAAAGTTTGACAACTCGTAAGTCTTCCTAGTTCTTCATTTTACACGGAATTTCAAAATACTCCCTCATCAAGGTCACATATGTAATCGTATTCTAGAATTTATACTTGTTTCGGGTTTGTTCTCATAGAACTGGTTAGCGCTCGTGCCAACAGTCGCAACAACAGTCTCTGCCGTTGAAACACTTTTCATCAAGGTTACAACGAAAAGATCGATTCAGATAACCCAATTAATTTACTGACTTGTGGCCAAAATTCTTCGTAATGTTTCGTTTGCAAGAGGCTTTTTTCACTCTCGACAAGCCTGCGTAGATGTTCGCTACAATAGTCGCCGATCAGTTATCTCTTTTTCCGTTTTATTACGTTTCATCATCATATTTTGCAAATCAATCTTTTTTTGCTTTATTACCAGTAATCTAAATTTCAGTAAAGTGTCAGTGCAGCTCGCCAAAGTCAATAAGCTCTTTGTATTTACTGATCAAAATTGTTATTACTTGGAGTTTATTACTGTTTAAAATTCAGGGATCACCCGTCACGAATTAATTAGACTTGTCTTTTTAAGGGATTAGTCCTGTCATAAAAGCTTTTGGGTAAGTTTTAATATTCAAAACGAACTGCTCGTAGATTATGATAGTAGGTTTAGTGGAAACTCTTGATCCACGATAGGCTCTATAGCCCAACCGTTTCGCTCCTTTGTAGTGGCAAAACCTTGACACAAACTTGACGTAATTATATAAAATGAAATTTCACTAGGCATAGGAAATTATACTTGTACCTTATCGACCTCAATTTACGGTAGGTCTAGATCGTACAATTGCGATTTTTTCCTATTCGCATAGTTAAAAGCTCAAGTTGAATCTTCTTTTTATTCTTGCAGATTTTGTCATTCAAGAACCATTGTTGTTCACCTCTCTTCAGATAACTTGAATTAAACAAAAAGTACTGTTTTGAACAAGAAAAGAAAGCAAAGAAAGGCGACAAGCTCTGGCTAATTCGGTAAAATATTAAGTTCGCCAAGCTACTTTGGATCCATTCAAAGAAAAAAAGATTGTAAGGTTGTGAAATGGCTTTTAACAATTCATCTACCACGCGATGCAATGATGGTGAATGCCACACCGTTAACCTCATAGAATATTCTATGACAGAAAGAACAGCCATAGTGGCCGCGAACATGCTGATATTTTTACTTGCCATTCCAGCCAATGGGATCGTTATAACTGTCATATCACGTGTGCAGAACGTGCAAACGCCTACGAGTACATTTCTCATGAACTTGTGCATCGCGGATATTTTGATAGCTTCCTTGTATATTCCGTTTGTGACAGTCGATTTGTACGTGGCAGGAAGCTGGATATTTGGAGACACAATGTGTAAATTGGTCTCCTTCTTATATTACCTCGCAATGAATCTCTCCATTCTGATCTTAACAGCCATCTCCGTTGAGCGATATGTCTCCGTCTGTCGGCCAAGACAGATTCGTTTGACGGCAAAGAAAGCATTTGTAATTACAGTTCTTTTGTGGTTTGTCGCAGGGTTTACTGCTCTGCCGCTGTTGATTGTTAGAAAGTCTATATTCAATCCGATAGTCAATGTTTACTTTTGCGTGGAGACATGGTCTTTCAAATACTCCAAAGCTTACAAAACTGTCACGCTGGCTATGCTCTATGTGACGCCTCTTGTGTTCATGGCCGTAGTTTATTACAAAATCGGTAGAAAAGTTTGGACAAGTGCTGATAAAACAAGAACCATGAAACTCTCAACCAAGCATGCTTCAAACTCCAAGCTACGCCTGACGAAAATTGCACTAGCAATTATTTTAAGCTTCGCAGTGTCTTGGACTCCATTCAACACAACGACGTTACTCTTCTTCTATGACCGGAAAAATTTTCCATATTCAAAAGAGGCAATGCATGTAGCTCAGCCAATAATATTCTTTGTCGCTTTCTCCAATTGTTCGTTGAACCCACTGCTTTATTGCTACATGAGTCAAAACTTTAGAAAAGCTTTTCAAATATTTTGGAAGAGAAGATCACGCCGTGACCTTGGAGACTCCTTTTCTGTCTTCTCGAGGACAAGCACGAAACGATTTAGCAGAAAGAGTAAAAGAAGGGCGGAGGAGGCCGTGAAAGAGCCGAACGGTGTACCATTCGAACATGAAACTCTCCGAACAAAATCGGACAATCCCGACTACTCCCCGACAAGTCAGCAGCCGGAAATGCATAACACAGTGGAAAGCATTTTAATAACATCGGCAGTGTAATCGTCACATAACATGACTGCTAATACTGCAGTCCGAAAGCACGAATGGAATCGTCATTTCAATCAAATGTAAACAACTCAGCAAAACTCTGATTTTGCAATGTTTTCCTTTTTTCTGTTTTGGATCGGTTTTGTTTCGTTTTTGTCTTCTGTATTTGTCTCGTTTTGCCTCGGTTTTATCAAGGGTTCACTTGTTTGTTTATTTTTTTATCTTAGTGTGGCTAGTACGAAGTGTAAAAGTAACTCAAGATCATAATCTGAGAGATCTAATAGTCTATGTTCCTATCGCGTGGTTTACTCTGAGATGAGGGTCCACTTTGCGCTAGTTTTAAGTTGGCAGTAGAAGATGTTAATCGAAAATCGTTATAATCTTGACAAAGACTTAACCCTTTACAATTTAGCGTTGGTATTCATATTTCCCGTGTTGTTCTCTTTACATTTCTTTTGGTACTAACAAAGAGAATTTGTTTGACAATCAGGAGATTCTGAAACTGGTGATCACTTCTGTTATTCTCACGTCTTTGACTCAAAGAGCATTTGATTCACGAGTGATACTGTAAAACTGGAAACGGAAAAGAAAACGAAAACGGTTTATCTTCCCCAAGAGGAAGATGAACAATTAAGGCTTTGACATGCCACGCTTCTATGGAGCTTGGCAACCAAGTAATGCCAAAATATTTGTGTCATCAAATACAAAGGCGCGAGCGTGCTTCAGGTTCTCATTGTGCACGATTTTTACGTGTATGTGAACGTGCGGAAGCGTAGCTTATAGACTTCCTCTTAGTAAAACACTGAAAAAACTGGCTGAAAGTTTAAAAAAACAAGGTCAGATCGGTTGGCTGTCTATTCCCAGCAGGGAAGTGCGAGATTTTGGGAAGGACAACAAATTGGCGCTAATTTAAGAAACAACATCCTTCAAAATCAATTTCTCCAAATTTCTTTAATTTCTACTCGATCACAATCGAGCTACAAGGAAACTGCTTCACATCGTTTGTAATTGTTAACTTGATCTGGACGTAGGAGTTTCCCAGTGGCGATGCACGCCACTTTATGATCATGACGCGAGGAAATGTCTTACTGGAATTCTCTGATTTGATTTCGTCAAAATGTACATGAACTTAAACGTTTACAGCATAGATATCCGTACCTCGAATTATCCTTCCGGCGTCTTTTCGGTGATCGCGACCTGGATAGAGAGAAATAAAAAAGCATGAATAGTCAAAAAAAATTTGTACTCATGCCATGAAGAAGTTTATTCGAAGTTTCTGATTCAATATTCATTATCGTTATCGTCGTATCACAAATCGATCTCAAAATCTGTATGGTACTGACCTTGAAAGGCACCGTCTTTCAGGTGACCAGGAACGTGTGCTGAGGGGAAGTTGTTTACCATATCCAAAGCATAAAAAAGATAGATTCGAATAGACTTGAAAAAGGCGCATGGTTGAAACAATCCAAAATAGATATAAAATCGCCTTGCCGTTGATCGCGACTTCCTTTTTTCTCCTCCTTGCTTTTCTTTTACCCATTATTACAATTGCGAAAACCGACCAGACACAACTTCGACAAAGATAACCACCAAGCAACTTCCACGCGAATCAAACGTGATACGATGCCATAACAGGACATTTGACAGAAAACCTGTCAAGCTGTCAAGCTGTGAAGTTGTCTTACAACTCCAAACACCTCCGGCCGGAAGTTTCGCAGGAAGACTTTTCGCGTTTCTTGTAGTTTTACTTTGCACCTTGTTGATTTCACTTTAAAAAGCTTCTTAAAAAATATATAAAAAAAAAAACATAACCAATGCAATCGAACAGGAAAGTGGTATGTATTATTCCATTGGCATGACTACGTTATTCATTCTTCCGAGGTCTCCAAACCCAATTATTCAGTATTTTTCAATTAAACCCGTTATTCATTATTCATTATTCAGCTTCCACCCCCGAGAGAGAACAAGTCAAACATCTTTTCAGAAAATATTCCAACTAAAAACCGCGAAATTAGATGATATATCAGATAATGCAATTATTGGTGATATGAAATTACCAAAAGAAAATTAAGAGAGAAAGGTGAAACCCCTCCTTACAAAATATTACTTGAAGATGAAATTCCAGATTCTAAAGATGAAATTCCAGATCATAAGTTGAAAGGCTTATTTGATAATGGTGTTCAATTTCAACAGGAAACACAACTAGTATCGATACCCGAACTACCTACATATGAACAAAGTCTTGCTGACATTTTAGAAGGAAAAAAACAATTATATACTGATCCTCGATATCTTCCAGAGGGACCAGAGTTACCACCAGGATATGAAGAAGATGTTGAGATAGACTGTGCTATTGATAAAGAAGATGAGATTAATATGTTATTAGCTGATTTAGGGCTTAAGAATTATGATGATGTTAAAAAACAACGTAATAGAGTTGATATGACAAATACTCGCGCTGAAAAATTCTTGAACAAGATAATCGAACAAGCAACACATAAACGGCGCCAGTTAAACGGTGTAAAAACACAGAATATTCTTTTACACAAAAAAGAAGCAATGACAGAACAAGACCTAATCATGCAAAATAAACAAGTCGATGACAGACGAGTTTCGAATGAGTAAGTTAGATATCATAAACAACGACTTGAAACAAAAAAGGATCTGGAATCAGAAAAAGAAACGGTGGGAGTGTGATTGGAAAAAGGGTTACGCCGGAAGATCATAATACAGATTGGGGGGTGCTTTAGATATTCACAAAGCAATCGGGAGGTTACCAAAACCAAAATGTGGTTGGACCTTACTTTTTCGGAATGGAAAAACAAGAAAAGAGAAAGAAAGGTGTACAGATAAAATAAAATATTGATGAAGAAAGAAAAGATGCTATCCAAAGATCCAAGACAAAATATATGCACAACAAGGAGTGGTATTGTGATGTTTGTAAAAACGGTCATAGTTATTCATTGGCTGGCAAATGGAAGCATGATGAAAGGCAAGATGCACCAACGCTACATTAGTGATTAAACACCTCTTCAACTTTGAATTATCCGCAAACTGGTTATTTCAACTTTTTAAACGCACAATTCTGAAAGATTTAGCTATGGGTATAGTATAATGGAAATGAATGATAAGCATAATCAGGATGTATATATTAATAGGGCTGATCTCAAAAAGCTCAGTAAATCAAAATTGATCAAACTGTTGTTGTTGAAACAGAATGCAGAATCAACTCCCAAACCAAGCATTAAACAAATGCTGAAGCAGAGAGACATAATATCCGTAGAAGACAAATCATTTTCTACAACAGAAAGACCAATCCCAAAACCACGAAAGAGTGTCAAAGAAATGGTGCAGGAGTATGAAGATAACATAATACTTCCAGCAATTGAGTTCAGAGATGGGCGCAAACCTTTTCCAGTACTTAGAAATATAAAACCTGTTCCAGCACCTCGAAATATAAAAGCAATTTTAATGCCCAGAACAAAAATAGGGCAAACAAAGCTCTGAAAGGATATACCAAAACATTTGAGGTTGATGTAAGACATAATAAAGACCCTTTAACACAATTACGAAACACCAAAAAAACTTTAAACAGAATTCAATCTTAAAAAATAATTAGATCAAATTGGAGTTGTTAAATATGTGGAAAAATTGAGATCAACACGTAATTAGTTTGATGGAGACGCCACAATCATTAAAGCAGCCTATTTCAACAGTAAAACCGAGACGGTTATCAATGTAAAATGACTTAATCTGGATTCATCAGATTCAAGCCAAGAGATTCAAAACAAGATAGCTGCTTGAATATCTTAAGGTTTCGGTTGGACTATCAATTTAATTGATAATCATTATATCCACGTTGTTAAATGTAACCCACCGAAAGGATCATCTTATATTCAATTACCATCAGAACTTAGAAACTCCGCTAAGAAATTGATAAACCTCAAAAATGAAGATAATCAATGTTTTCGACGGTGTCATATCACACATTTAAATCCGCTAGAGAAATATCCTCAGAGAGTCAAAAAAACTGATAAACAATATATTGACAAGTTGGATTACCCAAGAATTGAATTTCCAGTATCTGTAAAACAGTATAACAGAATCGAAAAACAGAAAAACATTAATGTTAATGTGTTTGATTATGAAGCAAAACAACCATTCCAATCCATTTATCAAAAAAACAATTTAAAGATGAGATAACCTTTACTTATAAGTGATGAGAGTGAAGAATTCAACTGGGGTGAGCCAACTGATGAAGAAATGAGACATGGTTTAGTGATAAATATAATGGAAGATGTCAATGGGAAAAAGTCTTACATGAAAAAGACATTAGTGGATCACTATGTACTTATCAAAGACTTAAACAAGTTTATGTACAATGAAACAAAAGATAGACAAAGGAAGCATTTCTGTATGTACTGTTTGCTGTATTCCACTTCTGAAGATATGTTGAACAAGCATAAAACAAACTGTATCATTATAAATGGAAAGCAAGCAATTGAATTGTCTGTAAATTAGTCCTTTTATATTTTAGTCGTTTTTATATATATTAGCCCTTTGATATTTCAGCTTTATATTTTAAATTTTATTAATTGGTTGTTTTATATTTTAGCCATTTCGGTGGAATGTAATTTGTAAATATTCTTATGAACAATATTTGTGATATCTGTAACATTTTAAACATTTTTGTAAAGCGCTATTGGACATCGCTAGTAATGCTCATCAATACTGTATTATGAACCACTTCAGATTAAAGTTTGAAGAAATTAAGATGTCTGTTATCTTCCATAATTTGAGAGACTATGAAAGCCATTTTAAAATGCAAGAGATTGGTTAAATAACCAAAAAGCATACATATACAAACAAAAAAGGGGAAAATGAACAGATGAACATAAATGTAATACCAAACAATATGGTAAAATATATGGCTTTCATGTTAGGAAAGCATCTTGTGTTCCTTGATAATTTTTAATTCATGAGTTCCAGTCTTGATAAACTGATAATAGGTT